CCCTGAGCGGGTAGTGTCGCCAGGATAGAGGAGGAAGACCCATGCGGAAGCCACTCGAGGGGGAATGACACATTGTGTCTGAGTGCATTTCAGTAGGTATGGCTATGAGCAAACACAAGACAGATGCATGAATAGGGAGAAAGTTAGAACACTGAACACAGATCTGAGTAATGTGAGAATGGGTTTAGCCCTTGGAGGTGGAAGTCGTCAAACAAACCAAACTCTTACTTACATCCCACTTGCCCACAGGGTGATATAAGTGGAATTATTAAAGCAAGCCCAAGCAAAGAACAACTGAGTGTGAACATTGGGGACAGAAAGGAATGAGGTACAAAGCAAACAACCAATGTGGCTGCTGCTGCTACATCTTCAGCGAGCTCATCAACAGCTGTGGGAGTCACAGCCACAGAGGTGTATCATGGGGGACGACTGTGCCAAGATTAAACAAGATGTTCATGTTGTGATTCAGAAATGGTATTCCAGTGGAATACTGGGATCATTCAGCTGAAAACACACGCAGTGCTGGGTTAAAGTGCACTATTATTGAAAGCTAATTAGATATGAGAACTTGCTGATTTCTTAGTATGATGTCGTTCAGTCATTAAGCTGAGTAACTTTGGGGTTGGTGCTGCTAGTCACACAAAAATATATTTTTCCAGTCTGTTTCTTTTACACTTGTGTAAATTTGGGAAGTGTGTGTCAGCTCTTCTGCAAGCCAGTACAAGCTACATTTACCCAAAACAAACTCCTTTCCACAGGTTTGCAGAGATGTTTTCATGTATCTTCACAAAAGCACAGCACACGCTCTGCAGGCTTTCAATTAACATCATCCATCCATTATCTATCCTGTTTATCCTAACAAGGGTCGCGGGGAGGCTGGAGTCAATCCCAGCTGACATTGGGCAAGAGGCAGGCTACACCCTGGACTGACTGCCAGTCTATCAAGGGGCTGATACTTAAAAACAGAGAACTACACGCACACCAGAGTCACCAATCAGCCTAAGCTGCATGTCTTTGGACTGTGGGAGGAAGCAGGAGCACCTGGAGAGAACATGCAGACGCCGCACAGAAAGGCCCGGGGTCAGATGGGGCTCAAACCTGGATCCTAAACCAGGGTCTGAATACACAAAAATTCATTGTTGGTTCTAGTCTCTGGATGGGTTTTGTGGAAAATAAACTGATAGAAAATCACCAGCCTTGTCCTTCAGGTTAGACATTAAACAGCTGAACTCCGTCAGCTCCTTGTTTGAATCAATGACTGTGATCAGTTTTAAAGAAGAACTCTGCTTCATTTTCATCTTGAGATTTGCATTTTCATAACTTATTGACACAATGCAACTTGTAGAAAAAATTAAATAAGAACTGACTTACGCTCTCAATCTTCAGATGAATCAATAATGAATGTAATCATTATTTGAAGCCCAAATAAGGAAATGAAGATGCTGCCCCATTATCAAAAACAGTCATCTTACATGAGAGACTGCCATTTTTCTAAAGGCTTCTGACTTGGTTCACTGGTTTGTTTTGATACTTAGCCAAAGAAGATTTTTCTCTTAGCTGCATTGAATTTGATAAAAGCTTCAGAGAAAGTTAAGAGCATATCCACCGCAAAACACAACACCACTGCATTATTAGAGACGGGAATAAAACTAGGCTTCTGTTCTCAGAACAAGCCATTTCCAAGAACTCTGAGTGTCTGGAGACAGTGAAACACATGCAGGGACAAGGAGCGAGCTGTCCTGTTCCTTCTCCTAGTAATAAAAACATGAAAAACATTTTTCGGACAGAGGAGATTCAAGAACAGACAGCGGCGGAGCCCTGGAGGGCTCTTCTATAAACATGACCTCCAGATAAATAGCTGCTCTTGGAGGTGAATAGGATATTGGATTTCAAGGTTGTTATTACTTCACCTTATTTCTGTAAAAAAATACCATTCATAAGCCAATTAAAACATTGGAGAGGGGTAAAGACAATAAGTGTATTAGTCAGGCAAAGGAAGAGAGTGTTGTGTCCCTGCTATGGGTGAAGTTTCCTTTCATACCTGAAGTTGGTGGATATGAAAGAAGACACGATGCAAAAGCTGGTATTTAAATCAAGATGCATGCCTGCAGGTTTAGTAAATGAGACTCTGACTGTTTTAACTTTAAATCAAACATCACTTTAGTCTCAGTTTTGACCCATATGCATTACAGAATAATCACATTATAAAGTCAGTTTACACATTTTGATACAACTCCTTTAAGTTGTACACCTTTATTATTTAAACTGTGTTCATCACTGTTAACTAATTATTTCTGCACTTCAAGGAGTTCTCTCTCGAGGCCCGACCAGGTAAAATTGCCAGTAACACTCTGCCGGCTATGCAGCTTGGGACTTAGCTCAGACATCACGTCTAAGTGTGAAATAGCAGGCATATTCCTGGGTAGGGGCACCTGTCTGAAAGGGACTACTCTGCTCTGGGTACCAACCAGGTCAACAAATACACAGGCATTGTTTATATGGTAACTGTTGACAACTCTAGTAGTGGAAACCTCATTTAGCTTGTACTGTAAGTAGAGGGATACACCTGCTATAGTAACATCAGCAATAACACAACATTACGTGATATCAGGGTGCAACGTAAATCAGCATGAAGGACTCGACAACAACACATTTTTTTTTCGTACCACCGTCTGGTTGGCCTACATAATGCATCAAGGCTGAAATATATTTTTTAGGGAAAAGTCAGAGATGCTTCACAACTTTTAAACCAAACATTTCTGTCTGAGACAGCAACAACTGCCTGCTAACAGCGTGAAGGCCAATTAAACTCCTGAATATGTTCGGTTTCCATAGTAAGGCTAAACAAGAGAAAACATGACACAAATTAAAGGTTCCATTTAACAACAACAACCAAAAAAAGCTCAAACCAGAAATTCATGAATGCAATAAGTGTCTCTATTCAGGGTTATTTTTAGAATGTGGGCAAATAGAAAATCAGCGTGAGTCACACACCACTGCAAAATACAGCAAATTGGGATAATTCAGGAGAATTTTAACTAGCAGGGTCTAACACAACAAGCTATTCTGTAACAGCATTTACTCTAAATCTAAAACGGCTTTAACATGAGAAGAAAATGCTTGTACTGAAGCGATTATCATCAGCAGCAACATAACTGACCCTCGGCCTCCGTTATCGGCAGTGGCACGTAAAATCCCCGTCAGCACATCAGCTCAGCTAGGCGAAGTCATAAAACACTAAATCCCGCTGAGGGTATTGTTAGGATATTACAGGAGCTCAAACCAGCTGATCACTGAGGGAGTCATCAAATGTTGCAGTCAAACTGTTAAATTTCATCTTACAGAGGCTTTAGAAGAAATATTTGAATATTCAACACCTAGAGAAATCAATTATCCACCAAGGGGTCTTACACCCAAACACACCTTCACAAAAACCTTGAATGCCAGCTGGAAATGTCAAAGCCTGGCTTTGGCTCAATTCATGTTGAGAAATACTCAACTCGGAGGACGAATTATTCTTATCGGGCTCCCTCTGTGTCGTGGGACATGTCGGCCACTGCAGAAGTACAGTCACCGTGACTCTTTGTTTTATCAGCGTAGAAATATTGTGATTGTTGATATTTGTGACTTTGGTGAAGATCAGATCATATTTCATAACCAATTTATGCAGAAAACTGGAAAATTGCAAACAGTGCCATGACTTTTTCTTGTGACTGCATATGGTTTGAAATATTATCCAAATATTGATCAAAAAGTATCGACTCAGCTACATATGCTGTCTAGATCCTGGAGTTTTCTTCTGTTCTGTTATGTGTTTATGTAAATATATCTGTTCTGTGTAACTCTCAAATGTTTTATCACCTTTAGAAAAAACAAAATATATCTTTCCGGCTCTGGTACCTGCTAATGCAAAACATCATTTAGAGGACTTCTGGGATGTGAATTAAAATAAGCGGATGAAGTAAGCAAGAGGACCATGTGAAATCCTGTGCATCACTGTGTCAAAAACGAGCACATTAAAAAAATAAATAAATAAAGCATAAACTGACTACAAATCACGTGGTTACTCAATATGAGTCTTGCTCCCAGAAGCCTTAGGAGAAGTAGGGCCCCTTTGTTGAGCATGTACAGATTGTATTGCATCTCAAACACTGCAGCAGAGTCGTCAGAGGTTCACCAGGTCAGTCCCACCTGGTCCTCGGGTAATCAGCCCTGCTAGTGGCGGGAGCCATCTTTAGCTGCACTGTAACTTCAGGTGCTGCACAGGTGAACGTAGTACTACTAACAAACACAACAGGACTCAACAGGTACTTACTTTATGAAGTAACTGGCCCCTTCGTCCGTAAAACCTTCCTCCCATCCCTGAGGTAGGTCTGAAATGAAATCAAACGACTTGTTCTTGACACCTGAAAGTTTTTTTTACTCATGGACTGGGCCCAAAATGTAAAGTTAGCAGCAAAGACAAACCCACTAAAGTAAACACAATGAATCCAAGTCAAAACAACCATTCAAAACCAGCCTAGCCTGCTACCTGAGCGGATCATGTGTCCGGAGTTTACAGGTTCACCAGAGCGGGGATGGAGCCAGGTAGTAATCCGCGTCTTGTCGCTGGCGCACCGACAGAGAGAGGAGAAAAACACCTGTTACACCAGCGGGAAGGAAACACCAGCAGACCCCACTAACTCCCGTGAAACCGAGAGAGACGAGGCGAAAAGCGCTCATCATCACACTCACCTGATGAAGAAGACCCTGCCGTCCCTGCAAACACCGTAAGACCATTGTTCAGGTAAGGTGTCCCGCCCGAGAGACGCCGCCATGATCCGGTCTCAAGCCCTATTTCATCTCATCGCTGCTCCGTGGAGTCTCCCGAGAGCTCGGTGATCACCGCTAGGTCCAGCGCTGCCTTCAGGGACCGTCTCGAAGCTCGTAAATTCGAGCACCACGCGGTTTGACTGACAATACAAGGCTTTCAACTGATGAAGAGGAGGGTTTCTAGTATATCTGGGAAGCAACTAAATATATAGACTTTGTTTTGAAACACCCTAAGTCACATGAGCTGTTTAAATATTACTTAGGCAGTGGTTTGTGCTGTTACTGTAGATTGTAAGTTTGTGTATTTCTGAGTAAGTCAAGGTTTATTATGAAATAAAGTGAGAAATGTGTATGCATGAGAAAACTGTATGTTGCTTTGCTTGATCTGCAGTACACAACTAACATTAGTGTCAAATCCCACACCTTGTCACATCAGCCATACCCAGTGCTGAAACTTATAAATTAGTAATTTGCATTGTTATAAATTCTATTTTTAAATTAGTCTGATTTTTATATGGTTTCTTAGCATTGCATGTAAAAATATAACTCAATTAATTGTCTTGATTTTGTTTAGACACAGTTTAGGTTTGTTTCAGCTTTGTGGGATGAGTAGAGTATATTCAAAGGTGTTCCTAATATTCTGACTCACTCACATAGAGACACCTCTGAATATAATGTAGTCCAGTACAACACCACCATTAACTATGACCTCAATAATAAACATCCATTCATTATCTATACCACTTATCCTGACAAGGGTCACGGGGGGCACTGGCGCCGAACCCCAGCTGACACTGGGCAAGAGGCGGGGTCCACCCTGTACAGGTTCACAAATAAACATATAATTGAATCTATACATTTATGAGAATTTCACCAAAGACAGAAACATTTTGAGCTTCATAAACAAAAATGTTAAGGTGGAAGTGTTGCATTGAAGTGCACACAACTTTACAAGCGTACCTAATAAAGTGCCCATGTATTGTGTATGTAAGTATTCTGCAGGAGTAACTTTATGAGATGGTCAAAGTTATGACATTTTTGACAATAACTGAAGGTATCACAACAGTGGCTTCAACAGTGAGAAAAGAGCAAAGAAGAGGAGCTGCTCTGTGAGTGAATTAAAAAAACAATCCATGTGCTGCCTTCAGTATTTAGGTGGTTTAACTGGCAATGGGATAATTATGAGATTAAATGAAATTAATTTAATCAATTAAGCTTTGACTTTAAGTACCCTACACACAAACTGATCTTCAGCCAAGTGAGCTTGTTGTTAACCTGGAGGCAGCGTTAGTAGCTGCTGTAACTAAACCTTTCAAATAATATTAAATGAAGAATCCAAGCAACAGTCTTTCTGTTGGAGATGTATGGAAATCAGTATGGTGATTACACTCACTCATCTGTTGTCACTGTCATTCAGTCATAATTTGTGTTTTTTCTTTCTCGTGTGCATGGAAAATAGTATATAAACGAGACTCAGGATAATAGGGCTTTTTAAAAAGCTAATTAATTTACTACACTTATCTAATATTAGGTTTTCACAATAGGTCACACCATCTCTGGTACAGTTTTACCATATATAGTACACTATTAATTACAAGATATTGTTGGGACTGGGATCCCAAATAATGCAATATATTTACTAGCCCAGCAGATTTTTGAGGCCACCACTAATATTAGATTTGAGACAGGGGAGAAAAAAAATCTGATGACATATCAGTTGCTTTTGTTCTTGCTGCTGCTACTGTCTCCTTAACATTAACAAGAACAAACGAGGGTGAAAACTGCAGACAATGAAACTTTGGGAGCACCTTACTGTACTTTACAAGTCCATAATTTCCTGGAAATTTCGTAGGAAGTTTCCTGTAATTGACTTGGAAAAGTAGAGAGTCCAGCCTCTCTCGAGGAGTAAATCTCCCTTGCTCATAGCTCCCCAGCTTAGCCGCCATGTGTTGGAGTTTACCCCGGTGAACAAGAGGGTCGCTTCCCTGCGCCTTCGGGTCGGGGATAGGTCTCTCACTGCCGTTTGTGCCTACGGGCCGAATGGCAGTGTAGAGTACCCGGCCTTCTTGGAGTCCCTGGGAGGAGTGCTGGAAAAGGCCCCGACTGGGGACTCCGTTGTTCTACTGGGGGACTTCAACGCCCACGTGGGCAGCGACAGTGAC